GTCTAATAGACCGGTTCTGCGGGCGCGTTGTACACGGTGAGCCTACGCGCGAATCTCGGGGAAAAAAAAAAACTTCGCGTCCATAGGTATAATAATATGATGTCCTTGGCCGCTACGGAGTAAGTCCGTGCAATGTTCTCCGTGTCCACCGTCCCCTTAAACCCATAAATCCGATAAGACTTCTCGGCGTGTGTGCATACGCGTATTGGATAAACGTCTACATAAATATAGTACACCACCAGTGACCACACTAATAATGTATTTCCATAAAATCCAATGATGTCATAAACCTTTTAAGAAAAAAAAAAAAATACACACAAATATTTTCTTTGTACGACTAATATCGTTTTTCACCGTAGACGCGAAATAGTATAGAAATTATGTCCGTTGGAAATGTGTAAGTAGAATTACAGTTTCTTAGTGCTTTAAAATTAAAATATATACCATCAAATATGTACATGCTATAATTATGGTATTATAAAACTCGTACATCATGTTACATGGTATGTGTTTAAATTTATTTTAAATTTTCGATCATGACCCACAACAAACTCGTCTTTCGAATACCGTTCGACTATAAATCAATATTATTTTAACTTTGCCAAACGGTATTTTTTAATATACTTTTATCTTATTCCTGAAAACTCTAAGGTAGCATTATATAGTGTGTGTTTGTTCAATTGCTTTTATAATTTGTTTGTATTAATGTTTTAGTGTTTTATAGAATGTTGAAAAGATAAATATGATTAATGAAAGAATAATAAAAATCCATTCCTCAGTGTAATAAAGCCAAATTAGTAAATTATAAATTATTCGCCAAAATGTAATTACGTAAAATATACACCTATGACTAAGTACTTTGCGAATAGTTCATTGACATCTTCGAATATATGTAGCTTAAATAAACAATGATGATCACAATCGGTAATCTAAAGGATACTAGTATACTCATTGTTACTAATACTAACACTTCGGAAAAATTTTTGATAATTGTATTATGTTATAATTAAAATATTTTTAAAAGTAAAATATTATTAAAAGTTACGTATCGCAGTACTTCATATGAAAAATGGTTATTTATATATATATATATATAAAGCGCTCAAAATTGGAATTTTTAAACACGTTCAATAAGATTTATTTATTCCTTCCAAAAATAATTTCAAAATATACCTGATATTAAATGTAATAATATTGATAGATGTTTTATTTATTATTTTTTTGTATACAGAAAAAAACTTAATAAATATTAATTACTAAAGAAATAATGTAAGATGTGTCCTGCAACCATTTATAAATCATACAAGATGAAATGAGTAATCTCTTGTATTTTGTGACAAAAGTATTATGCAAACCCAACTTCATGCCAATGTACTTTTTTTTTTTAAATCTAAACTAATTTTTTTTCATAAAAACAATTTTAAATTACAAAATATGTCACATACAATTTATTTACAATATTTTTTCGAGTTTTAATCTTTGACACTTTTTTTAAGCGATTTTTAGATAAAATATAATTATTTTATTTATTTAAAATTATTCTTACACTTGAATACTTTTCTTTTCAATAACTCCTTGGGATTTGGTCTTTTTTTAATTTAATATATCGCTGGCCCAACAACACCTATTTATAAATTTTCAAATTTATGTTTTGATAGCAATATATTTTTCTGTTTTAATCACGGATAATATAATATCATAATATTGTATATTTTCATATTTTATAACTCGGTTGCTCACGACCGATATAATTATTATAGGATAAATTTTATAAGTCAATACATTAATATCTTCTTTTTTAATAAATTAATGTTAAAGTGTGTTTACATTATTAATATATAAACATGATTATACATTTATAACAATAATTAAGGTAACCGTATATTTTCCAAGTTAAAATGGGATAAAAAAAAATCTTCATAATTTTAAATATAATTTTTTTTTTTTATTTAACAATTATTAACAAAATAAAGTAATATTATGTTTTTTAGAAACAAGAAAATTTAATTAATTTATTACATTTTTTAGTAAGTAACTCATTTTTAATTTTTATTATATACAATTTTTTTTTTTGTATATTTAAGAAAAGTGTCTACGAAAAGAAAACGGCTTGCGATGAATGGTCAATACCGAAATAATGAACAACCTATGAAAAATAATTTTGTGTTTGCGCTGATATTGCGGTAATTATATACTATATTATAAATTATATTATATATTTTATTAGAGTAGTTACCCATATTGATACACCATACACATCCTCTGCCATTCGCCGTCGTCACTCGTCACCGTCAACCATACATTAATACAGTGTATACACGTCGCATTTGCACATACTAGTTAATTATAATAAAATATATAATTCATCAAAAAATTAAAATTGACTATCGTTATTTTTTACTACTTTCTAAAAACGGGATATTTTATTGTCCCGAAGATTCCTCGGAGGACAACGGGACAAAGATACAAGAAGAAAATATCACTTTCAAAACGAGACGTTTTATTGGTCACCTTACCAATAATCCGTATGTATATTATATGTATATATAAATAGATATGAAATATAAACATTTTATGGGGTGGGGAGGGTTGGCTTTATTTGCATCCCCCCCCTCTCGAACATCATGTTTAACCGATATTGGAATATACGAACGTTTATATTTATGTGGTACTGTAATATTCGATCTAAAATATTACATTAAATAATATATAATCGATAATACATTATAAATAGTATAATACACAGTGGTCGAAACGACTCAAGATAAGTGGAGGGATGCCTTATAATTCAGATTTCCTAATATCATCATAACATTCTTCACACCTTGTGTACTTATAATAGTTTTTTTTTTTTTATAGTTCACATAAAGTATATTATCTTAGTCCGTGGCTCTAAATACAGGTGTAATACAAGTTGTGAAACGGCTTATACTAAACAACACGATAAGCTGAACAACACGCCCGGGCCTGAATGTTAAAAACAATTATTTTCACTGAAAAAAAATAATTTCTTATATATAAATATAAAAATGATAGTAAGTATATCATTTTAAATATAAGTTTTAGGAGGAATACGTTATTCTAAACAAAACAAGTAGAGGGATGAAAACTGTAAATACAAAAAAGGAGAGGGATGCCATCATTCAGTATCCCCCCCACTTCAAGCACTGATAATACATATATGAATTGTAATTGAGCAACAGCTCGTCTAAATAATAAAAAAAAAATTACATTTATTAACATTGCTTAAATTTATGATTGTTTAAATCGCTTTCAAATGTATTCGAATAATACTGTAGATAATAATTAATGAGAATTGACGATTCAGGATCCGTAATTCACTGGATATAACTGTGCTCGATAATTTTCCTTCTCACTCTAATAACCATTAGTTATAGTTATAAATAAGTTATAAATAATAACTTATAATCATTGAGTCGTAATATACCTAGCAAAACAAAGGAGTGTCCAGAATTTCCAGCATTGTTCGGCGAATAAATACACATGTGTATACGTATTGTAATCAAGCAATAACACGTATTAATAAACAGTTCATTTCGAATACCTCACACTGATCATTATCATTTGCAAAAGAAAAATATTTATTGGTATTATGTGTTTTATTGTGTCAGTAGAATATTATAGTGTTTGCTGTTTACATAACAATTAATGATTACTATGGTCCATATAATTAATATATATTTTGCTCTATATTTATTATGTCTACATCCGTGCAATTATATATTGTTTATTTAATGATAATGAATTGATTTAAAATAATTTAGAAAGTATTTAAATATCGTATGTATTATTGATTTAACAATGATTAATCATTGTTAAAACTGTTTATATCTATATTTGATAATTGGATGATTTTTTTTGATTTTTTTGTTTTTCTAAACTTTGAAACTAATTTATTTTTTACATGATAAAAATAATATATTAGATAAAGATTTATTTGTTGAAATTTTCAAAGGCTGATTATATTGCTGCATTGTATTATTCGTCTTTATTTGTACCGATTCAAAATCATTAATAAATCATCGAATAGAAATACAATTTGATACATAGATCAGCCTTCACATAAAGCGAACATATAACAAATATAATGATACATAATTTAAATTTAACATGTAACATAATTAATGGTAGTTGAGGTCTACAATATGAAATAAAAAATAATAAAAAAATTTTTTTTTCAAAAAAGTTTTATTTTTGTGTTGAAGAAAATTACCAAAAAAAAAAAAAAAATACTATTGTATGATAATATATTTTTCACTTAGATGATAAAAATCACAATTAAATATGGTTTCTTGTTTTTTAATAAAAAAATTACGTTTTTTTAATGCCAATATTTATTGAAATTCTATACCATCAACTTAATAGTATTATATTTAGTTTACAGTCATAGATAAGAATTGTGTAGCTTTAATAATAAAATAAGTAAATTGAAAAATAATTATTTAGCAATACTCTAACAGAAACATTTAGGTACTTATCAAAATGCATTATTTGTCTGTATGTTTTGCAATATTCAAGTGTACCAAATATATGGGCTTATAAACTATTACAATTTTAAATTTTCGAATGAAAAATGTTAAGCATGGTTTAAAAAGGTACACGCAATTTACATACGATGGATTCGAATTATTTCAACCCTCAACTATTTACACACCTTTGTTGGTTAGATGCTGGTACAATTAATAAGATTCGTTGTAGAAAAATTATATTATAATATTCATACTATTTGCTACTAAACAGAACATCATCACAATGATAACTGTACCATATTTTATAGTTATTTCATTGAACCGCAAAAATGTCATCCATTCCAACATTTTACGCCGGTGTTAACATATAAACTATGCAAATATGTACGATAAAACCGTTGTCGATCCTACACTTCGGTGGAGATCATGTCGAGAATCTATAATTTTTTTATTTTTTTCATATCACAAGTCCTCAGCTTGGTCTTACTACCGGAGCGAATCGTTGGGCAATTACCTCGACTCGTTGGTAGGGAGTACAACTCCTTTATAAGGCTTGCATGTAGACGCTCCTCGTACACTTCACTTCACTGGTCTTCACAAGTCTGCAATCATGTTCAAGGTAAGCACTATTATAGTTATTTGTTTACATACATCATGCCAACATAGTATAGTTTAAACACTTAACACTTTTGGTAGTAAAAAAATAGTAACATTTATTTTTGTATCGTTATTCATTTGCTACCAGCACTCATATTTTTTTTAAATTATTTTTTCGTTTACTAAGTTTAAGAAAATTTACTTAGTTTCCTCATAATATATAATAATATTATGAGTATTTGTATTTTACTCTAAAATTCGTATCTTATAATGATATTATTTGTTATTTAACTTGTAAAATCTTATTTTTAAAAACATTAATTATTGTTATTTTAATATTAAGATAAATTAAACTCGAAAATAAATTAAAAACTCTTCACAGTTTATTATTTTAAACTTATAACGAGTACGCGGAATACTTCAAAGTTGTTCACTATATACAAGATAGGTTAACATTGTATGTACTTTATAACACAAATATTTTCCACGGCTATTCTTATCATAAATTATTAATGTTAAACACCTGATTTAAATTTGTAAAATATTTAATTATATGTTTCTTAATATAATAAATTCGAATTAAATGGTAAATATATATATTGGTAAAATAAATAATTTTAATCGACGGTTCAATTGAACCCATGGAGTTTAATGACTAGTAGCAATAACCTTTGGACACCCCAAGGCAAATTGACTAGATCAAGAAGCATGTGTATGGTTTATAATAGTAGTTTACGCTCGATAACCGTGGTGCGATCGAAACTCGTCATTCGTTTCTCGTTAATGGCCAAAATATGTATTATACATAATATTAAACCCGTTTCGTCAGAACAATGAACCGAGATGCAAAAATTTGATTTTTTACTAATGCCTTAAGCTATTAATTATTGTTCGGTATTATCAATGGAGTGTCTACTCAGCATAAGTTATTTTTTTGCTAAATTTAAAAACAAATATTTTAACTTCATCAGTCGACTAAAAATAATGAGATACCTATTTATATAGGAACATAATTTTTACTGTCTACAGTATATACGTCTAAGACAATATTGTGTATATATGTATGGTATAAAAATCAAAACATTTTGTTTTGTATAACAAATATTTAAAATAAATTCAAATATAATATATAATTTACTGATTGAAAAAAATATTGGTTTTTATATTTTTATTGATTTATATGTTTATATTGTATTTTATTACACGTCAATCACTTTAAAGAAACATACGAAATTATCGAAATATAATGATTGATTATATCAAATATATATATATATATATATATATATATATATATATATATATATATATTGTATAAATAGTATATTTATTATCTATAATATAAATGTATAAGCAAAATATATTTTTATAATTTTATGTATAAAACATTTAAGTTAAAATTTAGCTCGGGTAAACAAATCCTACAAAAGCAGAATTTACAAAAAACTGTCCGGAAATAAGTTTTCGATTAAAAACAGGTTCTAAGTGAGATAATGGAGTTGTGTGTAGTAAAACTCTGGGATAAGTGATTTTATTTCTTTTAAAAACAATAATAAATCATGGAATTCAGAAAGAATTTCTATGTTCTACTAGAAAAAATGAATGATCAATATGTTTCAGATATTAAAAAAAAAAAATAGTACCATAATATTGTGTTTACAATAGCAACAACAAATAATTTGAATTAATTTTAATGATTCACAATGATTCAATAGTTAAATGTTCATAAATAAACTATTAGTTTATATTTTTGATTATCCTTGTTTTAAACATTCTAAACAGTAGTAATAACCTTTTAATATTTTTTAATCCAATCATTTTTAAATGATGCACAAATTGCAAATTATTATTTAATTAGTAGAATCTATTTCTAATGTAGTTTGTGTAATATGTATATTATTATTTTATATGCTTTTGCACAAAATTCCTATTTTTTTAATATAAGATCGGAAACCTATAATTATAAAATACCAAAATCAATGAAACTGATTTCTACGAAGACTATTAACTAGAATATTACTAGGCTACGTTCTCACGACAGTCTAAATATAATTTATCAGGACCAGTAACCACATAATTTATACTATTAAAGTTCAAATGACAACTGTACAAAATATAATGTATAATATATAATGTTTATAAATTAACCAATACAAATGTTTTATAATAAATATACTCAATATATAAATCAATATTAATTTTTTATATTGTATTATACCGGTTCATATTTTTCAAATAAACCTTTATTGAAACAAAATACTCGTACTCCTTAATAGACAGTTGATGGTAAATGGGTTATCTAAAACATAATTCATTGTTTATAATTTTTTCTTGCATTTAAAGGTGACTGTCAAATTAAATCGAAAAATAACCGGTCAACAATAACACTTTTGTTCAATATTTTCTATCCAAAAATTTACTGCACAAAACTTTTGGTACATTTGTACAAAACAAAAAAAATTTTGTAGAACATAGAAGTATATTTGTTAGTGTAATCAACACGTTCCACACTTTAGTTGATTTCTAAAATTAAAAGAATACTTAAAAACATAATTAAGTCCAAATGTTTCAGAAACAAAAAATATGTCTGATCGTATTCACGTTGAAGTCTACTTTTCTCAATTATCTTATACTATTAAAAAAAATTTCGATATATTGTCAATATGCTTATTTTCTATTTGTCGAATGAACTGTCTCGCCGTGTCCAAGAGGAAATAAGTGAAGGGGATATCTATAATTACACTTGCACAACTACGATTCTTTGTAATGATCCTCATTCCTCGTCACTATAATATGTCATAGCCCACAGGTATATGGGCTAATAATCTATTGTTATTAGAATTATTGATAACTACTTGATACGCAATAGAATACTGCTAGTTACGTGCATTTAATGCTCTAAAAAACATATGTGGGATTGCAGGTATAATTTTAACAACCGTTATTAAAATAGCTGGATTAGGTAAACATGTTGAGTTTATTCGTACATAGATAATATTTGAACACAGCACAATTATTATTCAACTATCGTAATATCAGTTCTAACATCAAATACGTTTTATACTTCAATGGTTCTCAGTGATTTATAATATTAACGAGTGTTTTTTTTTTTTTTCATTACTTTTTTACAGTTCGTTACTCTATCTTGCTTGTTGGCTGTCGGTGCTCAATGCAAGACCCCACAAAATACTGCTGTGCCATACTACCCTCAACCATACCCAACAGCAAATCCTCAAATATACCCTCAATTTTACGTAGCACAACCGAAGTATAATGCTCAGCCCGCCTATATAGCCGCTTCTCCTTACCGTCAAGTTTATGTACCGTAAGTAAAATATGTGAAAAATACCAAAAACCTAATAAATTGTAAAACTGTATGTAGTAAGAATATTTAAAAGTTACTTACAACCCGCAAACATACAGATCCACTACTAGGTATACAATCAGAATTAATAGATTATATACTTAAATCGTATTAATAATAAAAATATAAATTATAACTTTATTTCAATTAGCATTGATAGAATAGATATTTTAATATTTCATATTAAATATCTTTCCCAACTCGATTAAAGTTGATTATGAATACATAACAAACAATTTTATTATTAGAAATACAATTTTCGGTTATGATTATATTAATATGCATCAATGTTTCAACATAGAAACACGATCCTGCACATTAATAATACATAAAACCATAACTTATTATTTAAATAATGTTATTTGTTTATTTTTTAATATAAGAAATAAATATTTTTAATATTATTTATTGTGTTCTTAGGAATATGAATTTAATTTTTGATCACATATTATTAAACCGTGAATTTAAATATTTAATGCATATAATCAACATGTAAATTTAATTATTATAAGTTATAACTTATATAATTATACAAAGTATAATACTTATTTATTTGTGTATAAATGTTTTTTTAGAGCTAATCCTGCCTATAATCCTTACTACTACGGATATGCTCCTTATCCAGCATATCCTCAACAGTACGTATATCCATACGTTCAAAATGATGGAGCCCAAGCACCGGCACCTGCTCAACCTAGTTGGGGAGAGTATTTATCCAGTATCTGGAATTATGTACCAAACTATCCATTCGGCAGTTCCAGTTCATCTGAAAGCCAAGCTACTGGTTCAGAATCAGCATCATCGGCATCTACTGCTGAAGCTTCCTGTATGTGATTACATGTATTACTGTACAAATATAACGCATGTAAAGCGTATGATTTAATTTTTAATTTTAGCTACTGCTGAAGCAAGCCCAGGAAAAGGTGATAAACCAACAGGAGAACAAAAGACAGAACAATCGGCAAGCAATGAACAATCTACAGTACAATTGCCATCCAAACAATCGGCACCATCCTCATTCGATTATGTTGGCCAACCCCAGTACTTTGCACAACTGCCCTACCAACCAATAGCTTATGACCCAGCCAAGTTGAATACTGCGAGTAATGGTGCAGTTTCCAATTTCTGGTTTTACAGAAACCAACTTCAACCCGTATTTCAAGCATCTCAGCCCGAATTTCAAGCATCTCAAGGAGTAAATATATAATTTATTGTTAAATAATACATATACATATTTAACATATAACATAAAAAAAATTTCCAGTAACAATATGTAATTTAAAAAATTTGTAAAAAAAAATTATTATGAAATCTCAATGACAATCATATCTTTAATTAAAATTATATTTTCACTCATTTATACGCTTTTCATATAATATTAAATATTAATTTATATGATATCATCAAAATATAGACTATAAAATGTTCTTTAATTTTCATAGTTTGCTGATCAAAAATACTACCAAAACCCAGCTCAGTTTAACCATGGTACCGCAGCTCTAGCTTACCAAAGATACTTGCAATACCAGAAACAACAACAAGGCCAATTCCAAGAAGGACAATTTCAACAACAACAGCAAGATCAACAATTCCATCAACAACAACAACCACAAGAACAACAATTCCAACAACAACAACCACAACAATATGATCAACAAAGTCAACAAGACGAATCTTCCGTTGTTGTCGATTCAAATACAACTGGAGCCCAGGAAGCAGTAAATCAACCACAATCTAAATTAGCTACAGGTTCGAACTAATTTGGAGCTCTAACCCGACTGAATTTATTTTATACAACTTTTTCATTCAATAATTATAAATATTATTAATTTTTATAATAAATGTTATTTTGAGTAAAAACCAATATAATAGTAATATAGTCCAATTCGATGAACATATTAGTATTATTTTTATAAATCAAAGTGAAAATACGAATTTATTGTCAAATAATACTTCAAAATTATATTGTATTTTAATATTATTTTATCGCTGTCAAATATAAAATTATTGGTTAGTAAAAAATAAATGTATTTATTTTACTAAAATTAATTACTCATAGTATTGAATTAGTTTTACATTAAATTTTCATTTTGAAATTATTACACTGATATAAAATATGTTTAATAATATTTATTTTAAGTGCTCAATTGTTTTGAATCAGATTTGAACTCATAAAAATTGCCTCATGACGTATTTAGATCCTTTAATTTATACCAATTTGTTGGGGGTTGTAGGTAAGATGGGGGATTTCCCCCTCCGGATGCGCATGTGAAGAAGCAAATATTCACATGTAACACAGTATTTTAAAATCCTTCTACACCGACTTTCCTTAATTCCTACTTCGATTCAATTCAAAATAAATGTACGCTTAAGATTGCATATATTAATAAATTATAAGCAAATAAAAATTAAAAAATTAAAAATAATCACTACCGTTTTTGCAACGTACAATTTAATTTACTATTCCACGCTATTTCGTTTAAATGTAAACTCGTATATATACCTAGATTATTGTTATAGTTTTACTGTACCTAATTTTTTTATTATACATAATTTAATTTGTCTCGTATGCACAATATAGATCCAACAATAGCTGTGGCTCAGCCACAGGGTATGGCGTTCGCCGGAATCGGTGGCCGAGCCGGCGCTGGACCTATAGGCACAGCGATTGTAGGAAAAAATGCAACGGCGATTAGCGAGCCCAGCGCCACTGCTATATCACTGGACCTAACGCCAACGATTAACCTAACGCCCGTCCACAAGTTGACATCCGCCTATGTGGCGAAATATGCACCTGAACTGGGAGTTTACAAAGTAGCTGAAATCAAAACATCGGAGCCCTAACGCAAAAATGATAAATATTTTTATTTTATATTTTTAGTATTAATGTGTAAGGCGAATTTGTGATAGTAATTTTATACGGATATTATACAGAGTTATAATGTTATAGTACACACACTAAACTGATGTTACTCACTCTCAAGATGTGCTTAATAAAATGTAAAATCTTGCCATGTAAAATATATAATACGGTCATAAGCTGTAAAATACTTTCAATTATAATAAACGACTGGACTGTTCTATAACAGTTATAAGGAAAAATGTTTTGCTGCCGTTTAGTAGTGTTCGCAAAAAATGAAAAAATAAAATGTTTTTGATCTTTAAGTAGAAGTAGATCCGTGCGAAGCGCTGTCCAAAAAAATTGTGATTTGATTAATCTATACAGACGCATTGCCGTGTTAGTACGAACGCCATCTTCAGCGAACCCGTTCGAGAGGATACAGACAGGGAACGTTAATGAGTTGACATTTTGACCTGTACGTTGTGAAGCTATTATCTCGACCCACGGGTGCACGGTATCGGTATGCAGAGTTGCACATGTATAGCATAACACGTTAGACCAGATTATAGCAGAGACCCAAACAGCGCACCAGGTAAATTTTGTTCTAAAGATCGATGACCCTTGTTGATATGATGATGGAAGGGAGCTTAATAGACCGGAAAGATTCACCATGCCAGTCTTCGTTACATAATCGCACTAGGCACACTGCTTACTGCGCTTTAAAAACAAGATACCATGGATTTAACAAAACTTTGGGTGAGTACCACATGGTTACGAATATAATAAATCGATACGGTTTAATAATCGAAAAATAATTATATTTCATTCGACGTTTTACCACAACTTGTGTAGTACCATTTCTATAATATATTTTCATACATCGACAAGTATGAAAATGAACGTTGAATATTTTAGTTAGTTTTTCACAGTTCTTCGAAGATATTTTGATAATTGTATTTAAGAGATATATTCAATAACATTTTTATATTTCCCTTCCATTATTCAAATAATATTTTGTACTTTATAACAAAAAAATAATAAAAATGTTTTTTAAATGTTTTATTTCACTGTACTCGTATAAACGGTAGTTTATAAGTCGACTCGATAATTTGTTCAGAAAAATTATTTATGTAATAATATGTTACATATTTTAATATATTTTAAATTGAACTGGAATTTTTCATTCCACGTTAAATTTCGAAATTTTATAGTAAAAACGAAGCAAATTTGATTTAAATTAGTTATAATTCAACTTTGAAAATCATACACAATTAAAAAATAATTTTGTATTATATTTTATTTACAATAATTTTTTAATCACTTGTTTATTGTTTGTTTGTATTCGAGAATGTATTCAAAATATTAATTAAAATGAATACATTCATATACGTATGTATAGTACGTGCTCGTATTTATAAATCTCAGTAAGAAATAAAAATAATAGGTTATTATATACATTTGTAGCTGATTGGTTTAATAAATACATACTTATAATTTAACAGTTAATTATGATAATATTATAACATTACCTATCTATACTGTGCGAAGAAGTAAAACATGATAATATAAAATCCATGATATATTTAAAATTGTATGGAATCATGTTAGTATAAAATTTAATACTTCAACTACCTAGTTAAAAAAAATGTTAAACATAAACATTTAAAATAACTAATAATTCTGATATAATTGTGAATGCTCGGCCAAACTTAAGTTTAAGTCGAGAAACATATTAATATGTAAAATTTAAATAAAAAAACTAAACACAGGGCAGTTCTTATACAATTATTTAAACTCTTTGTAAGATATTAAAAATAAAATTATTTTAACCAATCTTATTATAATCATAAATAATTTGAATGTATTTTGATAGTGTTTCGTAATTTCGATAGTATTATCGTAACGTCAATTAAATTGATGTGTAATTATAAGTTTTATCATATTAGGTTTTGATAAATGAAATATATGAATGGATAATACTATTAATTACCCTCATATATTGTTACGATACTTTATAAGTATATTATTTCCTTATTTATTACAGTTTTTTATATCGACGTACATTGACTCAAAACTATAAAACATAAGGTGTTCAACAAAGGGTTAAAACTACAATTTATTAAATACTATATTTCTACAGTTTTAACAGTTAACAGTTATACCTTATGTATTGTAATTACAATGCGAATTTTTGATGCTAAACATACATACATATATATAATACGATTAAACAAAATATGGTCATGTTTACTAATTACATTTTTTTATACATATATTATTAGGTTATTGTGGTTTTTATAATATGCTACGAACAATTCAGCATCGCAAGCAACGTCAATGTACTCAACAAGAACGATCCTGGCAGATCAAGGTGAACATCATTATTATTACATGTGTACATAATTGACTGACTGTTACTAAAGCATGCGAGAGAGGAAGAACGTCCATTAGGTTCAGATAGTAGAATGAGAATTTAAAATATTCAATTATTAGCTTTAGATACATACGTAAATTATGCATTACTTAACGAGAACAAATTGAATTTTCAAGTTTGAGTGAGAAACCCAATGATCAAACAACAAGAACAGCTTAATTTATAAGTGTGTTATTTAATTTAATTTAAATCGATGTTTCAATTTTCAGGCCGAAAAAATCAGCCAATGCCGACATATACCTGGCACTTCCGCCGGAAAATGTTAAGACCGGTAAAGAAGATAGCTCTCCGACGTTGATACGCTTGGAACCCAATGTTCCCAACAAGTTCAGAGGCAAGTTTCCTGCTCCAATTGAACGCTTCATACAACGCATACAAAACTATTTTTCCGTATACAACCCTCCAGAGTACCTAAATGACTTGAGACCCGGTATCAATAATTCAGAGAACGATGGAGACCAGATAGATAATTCTAATGACACACAAATTATACTTCCATGCAACGGCACAAGTACGATAGTGATCATTCCAGTACCGTTAGAAAATGAAATTAGCAATCAAAATACAAATCCGGACAAATCAGAGGGTTACAAAGATCCTACGACGCAGAAACCGTATTATTTCGATTTAGGGACTTCTAAGCCGCCATATCCTGAAGAAGAAACTACGACTAAGGCGAAATGCCCTGAAGCGGTAACTACGCCAAAACCGAATTGTCCCCAGGAAATTACTACGCCAAAACCGAATTGTCCCGAAGAAGTAACTACGACTAAACCAAAATGTCATAAAGAAATTACAACACAAAAACCTAAGTGTCCTGAAGAAGTGACTACAATTAAACCAAAATGTCCGGAAGAAATAACTACAACAAAACCTTTATGTCCTGAAGTTACTACACCAAAACAAGAGATATGCACTGAAGAAACTACGACTTCAAAGCCCAAATGTCCGGAAGTAACTACTCCAAAACCCAAATGTCCGGAAGTAACTACTCCAAAATCCAAATGTCCGGAAGTGACTTCTCAAAAACCTCAATGCCTACCAACTCCTCAAAAACCAATTTGTCCACCCAGACCAAATACAGCTTCGAGTGATCCAAAACCTATATCTGGTTATAGTGGACCCAATGAAGTTCCACCGCTGAACCTAGTTGCCCAACCCGTTGTTGGCTCCTCCGTGTTTTTCTACTACAAAAATCTTTCTACTTCGTCCCCAGATTTACCGTTGCCCGTATACTACGTGCCAAATACTCAGGCACATTACGAAGTTCAAACGAGCACTCGTAGACCGAAACCGCCTCTTGCACGTCTAAAACAATTATTATTCCCTCGTTTATATGCAGCTTTCCATCCTGAAGATCAAGAATAATATATTTTAGGCTCAACGTGAAAATATATAATAATAATTTATATATTTATACATTAGGATTATATAATTATTTATTTGTATTCATTTTTATATACATACATATTGTAATATATTATATTAAAGTTTGCTATAACTCAAAATTATGACATAAGACCGGAATAAAATATTTTAATGGTAGTAACTTATTAAACGTTGAATCGAACTCACAAATAATATTGTATTGGATTGAAACAAGAAAATAATATTAATTATGCCACTTATTTCATTATTTGCAATAAAAATATAATACGTAAAAATATCAAAATAATTCAAATTAAAATAAAACAAGTATCATATATCAATATTCCTTCATTAAATAATAATCAAATTTTGAATGATATAAATCATCACAATATTTTTTTTAGTTAAAATCTATTGTATCAAATGTATTTTGATACACAAGATACAGTTATTATTTAATAAGTATAATTTTATTATTATTATTACTTCAATATGATTTTTTTTTTTTTAAATATTCGTTATGTATTAATTACGACTTAAAAATCAAAATAAATTATCCATGATCTCTCAATTTCGAACATTGAGATAATAATAAGAAATAAAAATAAAATAGTTATATGTAAAAACAAAATGTATGTAAGGCCATTAAATTTAATTATTTCAATTTGAATTCGATTAAATTCGGTTTTTGACAATTTAAATTTGATTATCAAACCTGAACCAAACTCTTGGACTTCAATTTACATTTACGTACCAAATTTACATTAAACAGTTCAATCCATATATAATATTAGTAAATATCATATATTCATATCTTTGTATTAAGTTTATATCTACAAGTAATATTTAACAAACATAAATAATAATCAATTTTTAATTCATCAACAAACTAAACGTATTTATAACTATTTAATTACTTGTCATTTATCTTATTTCAATAAAGACAAAAACGTGATGATTTAACTTGCTTGTTTTTTTTTACTTACCATTTTCTACAAATTAAGGAACATAAATCGTTTATGTGTATCTAATACGATTTAAAATATTTGAAAATATTTGAAATCTTCATAATTGTGAAGACTATATTTGCTCCCAAAACTTCGTATAAGTACAAATACATATCGAATTTATAGTGTTTTTATTTATTAATACTTGTTGTAATATTATTACAATTAGACTTAATATTTTCAAATATATTAAAATTATCTGTTTCTATTTCAGACAAGTTTCTTCTCCTCCCTGATAAGTACCATCCTGTTTTGAGCGTTACATATAATTATTATGATATAATAGTAAATATACCTACAGATAATGCCTTAGATTATAATTTTAAAAAAGCAAATTATGAGATAATCTCTAGAATGTTACATAATGCTGACTGGAGTTATTTATATAATGAATCTAACATTAACAAAGCAACAGAATTCTTCTATAAGAGTGTGTTTGACATTATTAAGGTAAATATAACTAAGAAAAATAAGCGAAGACGCTTTACACCCCCTTGGTTTTCCTTGAAATTCCGTGAGTTATTAAAAAAGAAGAAAGTAGCACATAGAAAGTTAAAAAATTCTGGCGATAACAAAGATCATATTCATTTTTCTTATTTGCGAGCACTTTGTAAAAAAAAATCAAGATTATGTTATTCACTATACTTAACCAATATTCAAAATTCACTCATTAAAAATCCTCGCTCATTTTGGAATTATATTAAAAATTCTAAAACAAGTAGTAACTTTCCGAATAGTATATCATATGAGGGTAAGCTTTCCGATAAACCATTAGATATTGCAAATTTGTTTTCTAATTATTTTGGCTCTGTTTACAAAAAACCAAATTTTGTAAATCCATCCTCATTATATCACATTGAAGACTTAGTATATTGTTCTAATATTACAATTTCTGTTGAAGAAGTATTTGATGCTTTAAGTAATTTAGGATTTGAAACATGTTCAGGACCAAATATGTTGCCACCTATTTTAATTAACAACTATCGTTATGCCTTAGCTAAACCTACTCATTATCTTTTTTCTCTGTCTTTAAAAGCTGGCAAATTTCCCCTAAAATGGAAATCTAGTTTTATTACTCCGATCTGGAAATCTGGAGACCGCTCTAATATCAACAATTATAGACCAATATCAAAATTAAGTACTTTACCAAAATTATTTGAAAAACTTATTGTACCTCAGATATCAAAGATTTTTAGTAATATACTAATGAATGAACAACACGGATTTCGAAGTGAAAAATCAATTACTACTAATCTTTTAGTATATTACACATTTTTAGCCCAAGAAGTGTCATGTGGTAAACAAGTCGACGTAGTGTATACGGTGTCCTGACAATTGAGCGCGCGACAATTGAGCGCAGACAATTGAGTGAAGACAATTGAGCGCGGCGAAAATTGGGCGCTGCGAAAATTAAGCACTGAGACAGTTGAGCGCTTTAATATAATATTATACTATACTGAGTAAAAGTTTAGTGCAGAACTGCTGTACATGAAATTATGAAATTAGAAATGAATTTGTTCGCAGTATCTGCGAATACCTATATAACCCGTCAGATAAATCCTTATATTTGATAATAATCAGATAATGTTATCGATACGGTGTTATTGAAAGAATAAAATTCCAACGACGGTAACGCAGCAGTAAATGTAGGCTCTTATCGCTGAATAACTACACATGTGAACTTTGCAAGGTATTTATTGATGTTATATTTTCACACGTGCATACTGAACACTATTAATTTAATTGTATAAAACATTTTAATTTTTTTAAATTATAATTTTGATAATAAAATGGAAATTATTAAAAGTCAAAAAGGTTAGTTGTCAATATTTAGTGATGTATCGAATGCAATACGAAAAAAAATGTCGTGGTCGTATTAATTTGATGAATAGTCAAATTATTAAAGAAAATGAAAAAAAGCACAATTATATCGCGCTCAATTATCTTAGAGCTCAATTTTCGCAGCGCTCAAGTTACGTGCGCTCAATAGTCTTCGCCCAATTGTCGTGCGCTCAATTTTCTGCGCTCAATTGTCGTGAATCCTGATGAAATAGACACTATATTAGAAATTGAACTGTTAATTTTTATCATTTAGACACGGTCAGTCAAATAAGATTGAAGCCAAGATAAAAACGGGTCACTTATACCAATTTTCTTGAGCTTACTGATACGAATAAACTGATCAACAGTGTCAAATGCTTTTTTTAAGTCTGTATACACTGGATTCACGACAATTGAGCGCAGAAAATTGAGCGCACGACAATTGGGCGAAGACTATTGAGCGCAATTGGTATAAGTGACCCGTTTTTATCTTGGCTTCAATCTTATTTGACTGACCGTGTCTAAATGATAAAAATTAACAGTTCAATTTCTAATATAGTGTCTATTTCATCAGGAGTACCCCAAGGAGATCATTTATCGCTATTACTCTTTTTAATTTTTATAAATGACGTTGGAAATGTTTTTAAGTACTGTAATACTTTAAGTACTTTAAGTACTCACTTTTTGCTGATGATTTTAAGATGTATTTGCTTCTGTCTTCAATTTCTGATGCTAAAAACTTACAATCAGATTTGGAGCAACTAGTTGTTTGGTGGTTAGAAAATGGTCTCTCTATTAATAAATCAAAATGTGTTCACATTTCTTTTCATCGCCATAGTTCTGCAATTAATTTTAAGTTTTATATTAACAATGAAGAAATTATTCAAAAGAATAATGTACGAGATTTGGGCATTATTTTTTCAAATGACTTAAATTTCAATGCACATATAGATTCCCTCTATAATAAAGCATTGAGAGTTCTTGGTTTTATGAAAAGAAATTGCGCCGAATTTAAGGAAATAAAATGTTTTACTACACTTTACCATGCATTAGTTAGGTCTATATTGGAACTTGGGTCTGTGATTTGTAATTCGTCACAGTCTGGTCAAATTGAAAAACTTGACAAACTACAAAGACGTTTCATACATATTTTTGGATATAAAATGGGATTTTTAAACATGTCTCCTTCTGATATTGCAAACCGTATTGGTCTTAAACTATTAGCTACCCATCGTAAGTACAATGATATAGTGTTTATGTATAAGTTATTAAATGGTATGATAGATTGTTCAGAATTTTTATCATTAATTGGTTTTAAAGTCCCTACTTTTAATACTAGAAACATATTAAGTTTTCATATCCCTCCAACCACTCGAAATTATGTTATTAATAGTCCAATATCCCGCTTGCCTAAGTCATGTAATGAAGTTAATAATTAATTTTAATTCGTTGTATAAGTTAAAATTATGTATATTTAAATAACTATATTACCTGTATGTTTGTTAATATAATAATAAAATTAATATTAAACCACTGTACTTTTACCCCTTGCGGGTGTTAATTAATAAATAAATAAATAAATAAAAAATAATAAATATTGTGTAGGATGTATCTACGCACATGACTACCCTTTTCTATAAACCAGCTTTGGTAACAGCTTCTCTTTAGCCGCCGCATTGAGTATTCAAAAAAAGAAAGTTCTCTCAGTCTTTACTCGACTCTCGAACGATCGTGTTACCTGCAGTAATACAGTTAGTAACTGAAATATATCTAAAGACAGTGCAAATTATTTATTTAATATTACCGTTAAAACTATAACAAAAAAATATGATGAGATACTGGACAAACAAGTTATATTGTAATGTAAGTACAGTTTCTAAATTAGCATCTACAACTCTACATATATTTAATTATTCTTTAAATTCAAAATATTCCAAAATAACAATTTATCATAACTGTTTTGTATGTTATATTTTTTTACTTAAATTTCTTTAATAAATTAGATTTTTTTAATATTATTTAACCACCTACTTTATAAGAGACCAATTTGATATATTCTATCAAATAGTTTTCATACCTCTAAATCTATAAGTAGTTGTTTTTAATTCATAAATCAGAACATAATATAAGTAAAGTAAATCCTACTTTAAAGTAAAATTTACTCCAATGTGTAAATAATTGTATACAACTTATACATGTTTTAGCATGGATTAAATAGTTCACTATTAAGTATACATGATAATTCAAAGTATACGCTGTTTTTCGAATAGTTATTTTATTAAAAAATAGTAATAACATTTGATGTGTAATGCATAACAAATATTTTAACTTTGAAAATAATCAATATACTCGTAAATCTTAATAAATATAAATTTCACCAACATTTATAAAAATATAATAAATACGATTAGTAAGTATGACTTATATTCACGTTTAAATTAATTGATATAAAAAGCTCTAAATAACACTTTAAAATATCACTTACATAGATATCATTTGTTTTATACTCAATCTAAATTAAAACTATTGAAATTATATATGATATTTATTATCCAAATATTAAAAATATTATAATTTAATAATTAAAGTTTATTTCCTAAAATAAAATTTGAACACTATCATAAAATATAGAGTCTAAAGATTTAAAATTATATAAAACTTTATATTAATTGTGAATGATTATAAATCAATTAGAATATAATAGAAAGACGTTTAAACAAAAAAAGTATTTTTTTTTTTTTTTTATGGAAATGAAAAGTTCTTGTTTTCGAACAACATAAATTGTTTTATTGTATTCCATAAGTGAATCGATTTGTCATACAGTAATAAGACTATGTTATTGCACTTTCTATAGGAACCATTCATCGCCACTTATACAAATATTTATATTTATTTACATAAAAGAATAAGATATGGAGGCTACGGAGCCGGTGTAATATTTTTTTTTTGTCTTTGATTCCTACGATAAGAATTCAAAACTTTCTCTAGTAAACCGTGAGATGAATAAAGTTGTAATATAAATAATCCTCCTTCAATGATTTCCACGAATGACCCAAGGAATAAAACAAATTCCTAAGTATGGTGAAACAGCATAAAGATTCGAGTAACATAAGTACTCCTACTATGAGTTCAAAGAAATTAAATTATAACAACAATTATATTTTGTATTGTGTCGGTAGAGATTTCTAACATCATTAGTGATAGAATCATTTTGAATTTACTTATGTTTTTAAATTTTTATTTTAAATTATTAAATTATCTCTCAATTATGGAAAGTAACTAATAAGATCTGAAAAGACGTATACTAATGATGGAAATTTAAAAAATAATTTAGCCGTCATTGACATTAATTGATTATTCGTGTTTTCAGTTACCTAACAACATTTTATCAAATTTATTATTAGAAGAAATTCAATAAAATATATTAGTTGAATGTTTTTTTTTTAATTTGATAGAATTAACAATTAATCATTTTTGGAATAAATTTAAAAATGAAAAAAAAAATTAATTAATTCAACGTTGTGTAACTACTATAAATATTTTACCGGGCATCTACTTTGAAAGTTTTTTTTGAACTTAAACCTTAATCTATTTATACAGTAGAGCCATAATAGTTTTAAAATTATTAAACACGTTCAAAAAATAACCAAATGGCAACATATATCATTATTATTACATTTTTTTCATAATATTTACACAATAGTACAGCAGTACAATATTAAAATAGCTTTAGTTAATTTTAAACAGTGTCCAATAACTTTTTAGAACACTAATAACATTAATAACACTTTACAGAAGTAGTATTATAATAATTAGGTTATAACATGTATTATTTTTTTGGTTCCTATGTTTTTTATACAGTTATATCAATAACCATAGTCTGTAATAGTATAAAATTAAATTAAAAATATTTTCACTTTATTTATACTTAATTGATAGCCATTAGTTAGCGTTTTTATTTTACTTAATTTAATTTAATTATATTTTATTATTTCTGGTTTCGTTTTCAAATTTATCTTATATTATCAAACCAGTTTTAAATTGTTTTGAAAATATAAAACCGATCCGTTCTTAGCATACACGAGAAAGCACAAATCCTTAATAAATATAAATTATGATAGATTACTATAAAGATTCTTTATAGTATATAGTAGTAACATGTACATACGATTCTATTTTACAATTTAAATCATATGAATAAAATTGTAAATAAAAGACCTGAAAAAATACTTGTAAACATTCAAATATTTATGTTCACGACAATGTTTTAAAAATATTAAATTATAATTATTATGTATTTGGAACGTTAAACATGTATAATTAATAAAATGTAATAATATAACCAACAACAAAATCAATATAAAAATAATTTTACATTATTTCTTGTATATATTGATTACATTTCACAGCAGATATGTAAGACTTAAACACCAAACCGAAAATAAACAGTTTGGACAAATAATGTATAAATGCTAAGTGTGAATAATCATAAAAAAATGTTTTCTTTTATATATTTGCCAATGAGAGGTTGAAGAGTAAGACTCTACGATTACAACCCGTTCTATAGACAAATACATTTCAATCGACTCAATGCAGCATAGAAAATAATTAGTTGACAGTAAATTATGCACAAGTATACACTAAATAGAAGTAACCATTTGAGAGCGAGATTCGACTATTCTATCTAGTCAGGCATAAAAATCTCTTTCGGAATTTTTACTATATGACGATTAAATGAACTCGTAATTTTTTCTACATTAGTACAATAATGCTTTGGGTACCCATCTACCTAGTATTGTGGAATTTCCACTTTCAGCAGTTTATTTTATTTCTTACTGAAATCCTAACCAAATGGTACACGAGAACCGGTTTTTCCTGCGTTTATTGAGATGCCAGGAGAAATTAAAAGAATTTGACCATTATTCATTATTATCTAGTAGACCTACGTAGTGTATATTTTTTTAAATATTAAATGCGCATTTACGAACAGGACTATAATTCAATTATTGAAACTATAGGCGTTTATATAAAAAACTAAAACAACTAAAAGTTAATCTTTTTTTACATTACAGCAATACTTGAGAATTATATTAGCGCATTTGTAAGAATATGAGTAATAGTAAAAATTAAAATATTTAATTGGCAAATCATTTATAGTAAATAAAAATTGTCTTCTTTTAAAATATTCCGAATATCTTGACGTATTTATCTCCCCCAATAATTGTTTTCATATACAATATTATATATTATTTCGTTCCTCTAAGCTTACAAATTTTGTATTTTTAATTATTTCTGGAAGTACAATGAATTTTTATTATACGGTTTAAAAACCAAACATTTTGTTAGCAAAATATTTTAAGATGGTAATTTTTAAAGTATTCATACTGTGTAATTGGTACTTTTAAAATTAAATATACCAACAAATAACAGGAATGTGTATCTTTAGAAATGTATAACAACATAATAAATATTTCAAATATATTATTTAGGAAAAAATGATTAAGGTTAATGTTAAAATAATATTTTCTTTTTGTTGAAAACGTACAATTCTAGATTTTACGTAAATGCGCAAGAGGGGTGGATAAAGAGTTCTTATTTCCATATTATGCGTGATTTGTAATAAATATATCAATAAATTTGTCCAATGGCTACAAATTATAATTTGCCTATTTAGAAAGAATTACTTACTCTAAGTTTTATCAAGAACATCTAAGTTTATTAACCTATTATAATGACGATAAAGTTTTTCTAAATCGTAATATTTCGCAAAAAAACTTATTTTTTTATAAATTAACCTACTTCTCTGAAATGTATCCGTTATTTAATGCGTATCATTTTCACTGTACCTTTTTTTGATTTAAAAAAATAAAATACCTACCGCTGTGGAAGCTGGATATCAAGTTTAAAAAATTACGGTTCAAGAGATATGTGCATGGTGGATAATCATTTCACTTTTTATTTCACCTCACTTCTCACACTGTACATACTCGTAAATTTTATAATATAATTATAAATATTTTCTTTGATCATCAAGACAATTTTTATACTATAAAAATATCATGCAAACATATTTATCAAATAATAATATTCATAAAGATGCTTTAATTCAATAAAAAAACGTTTCCATTTTAAAGCCGTGATATACCATTCATCTACATAACATGTAAGCTTATTATATGCATTGTTAAAAAGAAATTTTTTCAAATGTTTGTATCAACATACATTAAATTATTTTTTTTATAGAACTAAATAGCTATACAAGAAAGTTTGTGTTCAAGTATTTTAAAAGCTTTAAAATTGAAAGATTATTTAATTAAAAATATCTACATGGCAAATTTAATTTTTTGATCACTCTTAGGAAACCAAAAAGAAGATTGATCTTTTCTATATACTGTTATATATTACATAGTCCAATTTATAATCCATATTAAGTGGTGTTATACTGATACGAATCTTTTATAGAATTAATTTTACTCATAAAAGTATAAATGCGTATTTTTATTAAAAAAATTAATATATCAATATAAATATAAATTTCTCAGTTCACTCAGTAAATAATTTGAACGCAAATTACAAGCGTATTTCATACTCTAATGAGTTAGCCTTGTTTAAATGCATTCCTGCGTAAAAATTTAAAAAACACTTCATCACACTTACTAATTACATTTTATACCTAGTATACATTATGATATATTGTATCGATGTTCAATTTATCTTTCCTTCTAAAAAGAAAAAAGAAAAATTTTATTTCAAACAATTATTTTCTTATTGAACATCATAACATCAATATATTTTTGTTTTCAGATGATAATTCTCGTATTTTTTTGGCTTAATATATTTTATGCAAATGCCGGTGTAACCAAATATTTAAGAGATACAGGTGTAGTACCAGCAGTGCCGTTGAATGAAATGACCGAGACAGCGTAAGTAGAATATTTTCAAATATTTATGTTGATCAAATACGATCAAATTTCTCTAAAAAAGAAATTATTATTCATCCACGTAATGACTAGCAGATAAAATACTAAACACTGATTCCGATAAAACTATATAGTTATACACATGGGATGGCAAGATAAATATTAGTAGATTTTAATACACAGACACTACTAGGTATACCAGTTATTTTACTTTGTTGAAATTCGTATAGTTAACCATAACTGGTATTGGTAGAAAATCAAATTAGGTTAGGTTAAATCTACATTAGTATATTTATAAATAAACTTGCCAACAAACATGTGTATACAGTCTCACGTACACTTCGAAGAGTAACATCTTATCGTTCCCGGTGAAACGTTCGATATTATTGTATTAACATATCATATTCTACGGGAATATAATCCGTATTTATAAATATCATATAGCATAAAAGTATTTCAATAATGGCGTGATTTAATTATTTTTTCAGAAATATCTATGAATAATTAAACTCAGCTTTATTACAGTAAAACGTATGCTAAAATATTAATCAGTCAACTTCAAATTAAACAATGAGATTATTAAACATCAAATTTAACCTCTAAATAATCTTATATTTATTTTTATCTGAAACGAAACAATATTCTTAAGCTCTCCCTAAGTACATATGGCGTATCCGAGTTTGATCCCATGTAATATTTATTATAAAGATCAAAAACTAATTGGGTCCGATTATAAAAACGATAACATACGAGTTCGGTCCGACCACTACGACAATTAAACCTATAACTTACAAGTATATATATACTAGATAATGTTAAAAAATTAATAGATTTGAGTTTGTAAAAGCTCTATCATTTAAATTTTTACCAACTGTATTAGTTTTTAATTTTTTTATAATTTTATTTATTTATCATATACCAGTATTCTAATTTTCAATTCATAATTATATACCATATATTAGAATCTTTTAAAAAAAGATCATACCTATGTTCTAATTTCAAAGTAACTAAAAATTAATTTGTAAAACACTGAAACCTAACTAGACTAAATAAGGGTCTTCGGGATCTAACTAGTAAACGTCGAGTACATAAAATACGAATTAAACGACTCTAGACAAAAAATGTATTCGACATTGATAACACAACAACCACTTGGTACTAACAAATGCTTCCACATTTACCGAGGCTTTATATGATAAAAATAAATCAAATTTAACAATTATTTTGATGTGCCAACAGAACGAACGTACCAGAAATGGCTAGGATTTTCTACTCGGCGATCGGCGATCTAGTAGAGACTGTTCCTATATTTCCGATCACATTCAACGTGCCCGACATGGTAAGCGCTTTTGGTGGTTTATTATCTGGAATGTACAACTACATCACTGGGAGTACCAACAACGGAGGGTCGGAACCCAAAGACGTCCTCGGTGCCATGTTCAATATTTACAGACATATAGCCGTTCAAGAAGATATACATGATTTTGAGTTTATGACGTAAAAGGACAAGGTTAGGTTAGGATCGGAAAAAAATTATACTTTTTTACATATATTCATTCCTTTTTTTTCCGACATAAAATCATAACTGGATCCATTACACTACTTTAAAAAATCGTAAAAAGATTGTGTATATATCCATACGGGTATCTACATTACACAGCCATAGCGAAATCTAATAGGAGTAACATTTATTATAACGCATGAAAGTCTGTACGGTAATTAATAAGACTATTTTGTCGTTAACATATTTATAATAGGATCTGATTCTACTACTTTCTACGTAGGGTACATCTTACATGTATATTAAGATCTACTTTACTACAATCATAAATTGTAATTAATATTATTATTATTAATAATAGTGTCACTGAAATTATACATACCTACCTACATAGCTGTTTAACTTTTATACGAACACTAACAATTTTGAAATGAAAATTTAAAATCCGAAATATTTATAAATCATATTTTTTTTCGACTAGAACAACTGTCATATTTAACTGTTAACAATACTATTTTTGATCCTTTCAATTTATTAATTTATTAATATTACTTGTGATGACAGTTTTGACGCCAAAGTAATAATATGAACCATTGTTAACTTGTTATGTCTCATTGCGTTTTTATTTGTTGTACATGTAAAAGTAAATGCACGTACTAGTGTGACTCATTGATCCACTATTTGAATTTCACCTAAGTGTTTGTTGTGAGTCATACGAGGCATGGTTCGAACCATTGCAATAATTAAGTATAGTTGTTAATCTTGAATTAAATTAAGGATAATTAATTAATATTTATTGTTATGCACTTAGATTATAAGGAAAATCTTTTACTGAGTTTAATATTGTATTTGTTAAAATAAGGAAAATATTTTTAAGCAGGTATTGTTTACGTATTGGAAATATATTAAATTATTATTTATTTTGAACTATATGTGTACTTTTTAATTAATCAAAACTGTACTCAGTAGTTAATATTTAAAGTCTCGTGATTTAAATCGATTATACTTTCAAATTGTAATAATTCTAATTTTCGATAAGTTTGAAATAACATTAATTTGAAAAATTGCATAGAACTTGAGGTTAGTAAACCATCAATTCGAAAAAAAACGTTTTCATGGCATCTTGAATAATCGTGTTGCTTTAATACTAAAAGAAAGGAAATTCGTGTTCCTATATTGATCCATGATCCTATACCAGACTATTATACACGAATAACCAAATAACTAAAAATTGATATATAATATAAGATTGACATTTTGATCGAGAACTTAAAGAAAATATAACTACTATAAGCGATTATACGGCGACAACCTAGAGTGCCTTGGTAACCACTGTAATTTTCGAAAACTTTGGTCAAATCAATTAAATAGATTACAAATGTTATTAAAAAAAGAAAAAAAATATTTTTAACTATATAGTTTTAAGCATCGATATCAAGATATTTTTTTTTAAAAAATTAGATAAGTATATTTTATTTGTTAATAACATGTATTATCGAATTTACGCCTCTGACCAATCATAATTTTAAAGCAAAATAAATAACAAAAAAATCATATAAAATAAAAAAACCTGAACAAAAGTTAACTTAAATTAGCTATAAAATTAAATAAAAAAATTAAAATAATAATTAACTTCCATGTATATAGATTTTCAGTTTGGAAACTGGCTTTATCATCACACAAAATATTTTCATACATCGAAGACAGACGTTTTACATCCACTGAAGTGATTGGTGCATACTTAATACAAGCTGTTTCGTTTAAATAAAGCTCATGATAATCAATATTTGATAAAACACCACACAGAATTGTTAATGTGTTGTAATTGTTTTCATTTCTTGTTTTTTTCTAAGAACACGATTTCATTTACCCGAAAATGTTAATAGTTAAAATGATCGATGTTATAAGCCGTGACCAAACTGTACGACGAATTTTCGCAAAGGCACATATGACGACACGTTCGGCATCGTCCGTTGTAATATATATATATTAACCTGTCTATAGACAGGCCTGCAAAGATTGGTCAGACCTTGTTGAATGATTCGTTCGCGTTCGAAAAAAAAAAACAGTAAATCAAAGGAATTATATTTATTGTGTGGACGAAACTTGACCTGATTTAGTTGTTCACGAACATTTGATACGATTCAACATACAATACGATACGCAGTTATTTTTTCAGTTGTTTCAACTTTTTTAATATCTCAATAATGGAAAAATTAGAGAAATGCAACAGGATTAATGAAAACTATCTGAAACTTGTTCAAATTACTACCATCATCTACTTTTAAATGACGATTAGATCCGGGCGTCTGTAAATTGCGCCCACATTAAGTAGGTAGTAAAAATACTATAGTAAATTGCGCCTATAGTATCTATTATCTAAGTGACCTTGAATTCATCGTTACCTGGTATTTTTAGAACCAGAAAATGTTAACAATTATTTTAACTATGAATTAATGCCTACATTGCCTGAAGATAATTGACAGACAATTTTCTTGCTATTTTTGAAACAAGTATATTTTATTCGCTGATTTTCCTCCAAATATTTGGGCATCAGCTTCCGCAACATTAACTCGGACAACTAATGCTTGTGAATCTTTCTTGTACTAATTGTATTTTTTTTTATTAACATTTTAACCTAACAAAAAATATTAAAAAAATTATAGTTAATACCATAACATTATAAAAAAAAAAATGAATTTTCCTATTTTTATGTGAATTATGAGTATGTTAAGATTTTGTATCATTACTATGCAAATAACTTATAACTGTATTTTTTATTATTAACATTTTTAATCTAACAAAAAATATTTAAAAAAACTATAATTAATATCATATTTTTAAAAAAAAAGAATTTTCCTATTTTTATTAATTAATTTATTCATCTCAAGTAAAGTAAAAAAACATTTTTGGGGGACAGTGATAGTCGCTTCCTCGTGGTGTCCTCTGGGTAATGCTAAATGACTATCATAAAAATAATATTTCTATTGGGCGCAATTTACTACACAAAATTTCATACCTTTATACCTGGCGCAATTTACAATTGTTTCCCTTTGATAGGCACAATTAACGTTTACCCTTAGATCCATCAACACCGATTTTTTTTATTTTTCTTTAAAAGTAAATGTACGAGTAAAATTATGAAGCAATAAATCGTCTTCATCACTTGACATCGTTGTACAAATTTGTAAACTTAAAAAGAAAATAATAATATTCAAATCAAATTTACTGAAAACGTCATTTCAGAAGACTCCTCGAGAAGATCTTAAGACACTAATGATTAGCTATTGAGTTTAAATAATATCAAAAAATAAAACACATTTGACCGATTGCAAACAAACGCTCTTCGTTGGAATTTGTTGAAAAGTATGGACAAAGATTAAAAATATTACCGAACGTTCGGGCATATTTGACTTCCCTAGCATTAGTTGCCATTCTCTAACTTTTTTTTTGTGGGTTTAGGTTAAAACAGAAGTTTGAGTATACACCCTATGATCTCATCCAACTTAAATTAGAGATCAGGAAAGTGATGAAACTGCCAGTAAAGAACTTGACGATGAATCTGTAAGTTCGTCATCGCAAATTTTATGGACAGATCATCGATGAGTAATGATTAAAAACATATCAACAAAAACATCAAATGTCTGTAAACTTAAACAGATGGCGTGGTCACCATTGTCTTAGATGGTCTCCGTTACAACACTGTTATTAGGGCCGCATTTAAGGGGTGGGACACTGGCTACAACTGCCCCGGACGCCAGTTTTTTGGAGGCGTCAAAATTTTGTGATTGGAAATTTGCTCACTTGTGAATTATTGAATTTTTAAAATTATTTTGAAATTATTATTTTTTTTTTGTTTTTAATGACAGTGTCATAAATTAATGTTAATTTATTTAATTTATTAATATATATTATTAATGTATTTATAGCAATATAGCTATCAACGATCCAGAATATCATTAATATACCTAATATCAGTTCTCAAATTGGTTGTGATAATGTCAATAAATAAAAGTTATTTATAGGGAACGGATTTATATGTAAATACATATTTTTATTAAAAAAAGATATTTATGATTCGATAAAAAATGTTCATGATTTAAATCATTCCTATTAATATAATGCTACTTTTACTTTACATATTTTTACACATTTCACTAATTTGTAAATATTTTTAAACATATTTTATCATTTCATCATTCATACGTCTTCTTCGTACAAAAGTACAAGAAATTATTTCAAATTTAAATCCAGTAACTTCTATCACTATTAGAAAAGCTTAAAATATTATGCAAAATGAAACATTAAAAACTAATTTAATTTTCATCTCAGTGAATTTTAGTTAAATTACATATACTTTTACAAAATTAGAAACAAAAATAAATCCTTAAATGAAAATATGTAAATTGTTGAATCAACGATTGCAAAATGAAAACTCGTAAGCGGACCAATTGATGTTGTAAAAAAGAAAATTCATGCTGTAACAGAAAAAAATTTCAGGCTATATTGATTTTCAATCAATCAATGACATAAGTGGCAGATACCCATCTAAAAATTTGGAATTATCACCTTCTGATATCATTCGCTTCAATTATGCTTTAATCAACCGATGTAGGTTGAAATGGAACGATCATTTAGCCGTTTTAAAAATATTTTCAGATCTAATAGATGACATTTAATGTTTGAAAATTTAAAAGATATTGTAATAATTCAATGCAACAAATCATTTTGATAATTTAATAATTATAATTTTTTTCTTACATATTTGGATGTTTTTAGCACATATTTTATAAATTATACTTACATACATATGTACATATTTCTGTTTTTATTACATATAAATCCGTTCCTTAGTTATTTATAATAATACGGCGTATTATGTTATCGCGTGCAGCGTGCGGTGGCGTGCCTACTATAAAAAAATAGCATTGATTTTACAATATCTAAAAGGTTCATGAGGATCTATTTCCTATATTTATCATATATAGGCCCTTTAGAGGGGCACCAATTAATTTATTTTTTTACGCTGGTGCGCAAAATTACTAAATACGGCACTGACTGTTTGGAAAGAGAGGTTGTTCAAGTCAGAATGACGACTTGAGTGTTTGTTAAAAACGATAGGCAATCCGCGGGGTTAGCCTGAATAGTTAAGTGTATTTAATAAAGTTGTTTTTTTATGTAGATATATTAAGTGGATTTTATTAAATTTAAAATCGTTTTTATTTAGCGTGGTGTTCTTTGGTTCTTTCTAAATAAAAAAAGGTTACACTTCGAACTACTGATAAGTGATGGTATCTATGGTACCGCCCTAATGCGCCTCACGTACGTCATGGTGAGCCGTCAAATCCTTATGTATTTGGCAATATACATACGTAATACCTCGCATAAATCCTGTGATATTATATGTAAGATGTCCGAACTGGCGACAAAACCTTAATAACTCTTTCGATAGTTGATAAAAATAAAAATGTCAAAATGTGATATTTTTTGCCTTTTTCAAGACATTTAGTCGAATTAAAATTATTACTATCAACATTTTAAGAAAAAAGTTAAGAAAACATGACATTTTCAACTATCTTTAAATGGTTTAAGAAAATCGTTTGAAATTTATTTCATCTATGACGAATAATTTAATAAACATTTCGTGAAAATATTAAGTTATTTTTATTTTTCGGTCAAACCTCTTTTAACAGTAATAAAAAAAAAATGAATTCGATTTTGACAAAAACCGTTATGCCGTTAATGTTGTCATTTTTATGTAACTTTTCGTTAATTTTTTTATCAATTATCGAAAAAATTGTTAAAAATTTCAAAAAAATTATTACTTCAAATCACCAAATTGTACATATTTACTATATATCTTTAACTTTTTACTTTGTAATGATTGGAGAAATTCTTTTACATGTTCAAAATCGAGTGTCGTTTCCTAACTGTTCTTCAAATTTTTCTCAGGGGAACCTCAGCCTCTCTCCCCTCGACGCGGAGAAATTTCTGAAAGAAAAACTGGTGCGATAACACAACAAACCGTTATCTGCACCGCGGTATAATGTGATAAGTTTTTAATTTGAGGTTATGTATTTTATTCATTCTACATCTATTGATACTTGAAGGCATGTTTTTTTAAATTTTATTGTTTTGAAATTTTCAATTCGATTTCGTTCACTTAGCACCGTGTATTGTTTCTCAATTGTTATATTGCCAAATTTGTTGAAGTTTGTCGCTCGCCATTATGAAAAATACATCCGTTGACTCAGAAAAGTGTCTGATTTTTGGAAATACTCAAACAAATGCGTATAATGAAATAATTAATTCTGGTATCATTTTTTTTTTCAATGTAATTTTAAATTTGTTACTGTTTTCATTACTTATATCCGGTTTTCAGGCACCTTATCAAAAGACAAGAAAAATGTTTTTAAGGGCAACTATGTCGACATTTTACAAAATGATTTGTTTGTGCGTCTATATAACGAGTTTGAGCATTTGAACAGATCAAATTTTAATTCCAATATTTTGGAACATATAAGTGATTTTTTAAACTTGAATCCACTTGAGTTAGTAACTGATTTAATTATTAAGTTATATTACAATGAAAATTGTATTGTGTGGCTTTGCTTATTTTATATATCAAAGATGGACCAACTTTTTTAGTTAGATATTTATTTATATATTAAAGAAAATGATAAAAGTATCGTTCTAGATATTAATAAATGTTTTAATCAATTAATTCTAACAAATTACTGGAAATCAATTTTTAAGTTGTACACAATCAACTGGTGAATCATATTGACTGTTTATCCATCTCTCCTATGTATTACATTAAAGTTTTCAAGTTGTAGGTGACAAATAATTTTTTTTTATAAAATGTTAAAATTAATTACCTATTTGAGAAAATTTATTAAAACTGAAGTAATTTTTGATTATTTTTGTTATTCGTTTTTATAATTTTAAGAGAGGAGATCTGTATGAACTTAAAATTTAATTATAAGACTTAAGATTTTTACAGCATTTACAATAACTTATATGATAATGAAAAACCCAGTATTTATATAGTTACATACAAATTTTGGAGAAGTAATTTTTTTACTATTAAAATGTATATTATTTCCCAAATATTCTATGAATTTATGCATTAAAATCTTTTAATTAATTATTTGTATTTTGAAAATTAAATATATGTGAGGTCCAAGTGATTATAATTTATATTCTTTATTTTTTTTCAGAAGTGATACAATTTTTACCATTGGCATAGCTTGTTATCAGTTATTCTTACAAGCAAATTGGACAGGACCTTTATTAAAATTGTAACCCATATTTAAATTAGCCACTATACCATTGGATTGTTATTGAATTATAATATTGTATTAAACTATTTTAAACCTAATTTTTTAGGGAGTTGAAGAGTTGGGGTTCAAGTACTGAAGTAGTGGAAAATTTAGTCAGCGATTTGGATTGTGTATCTAAAAAAGTATTATATCCTGAACTATTAGTGTTCTCTTATGCAGTTTTTAATAGTGATAAAATCAATATTTCTGTAAGAACTACTACTGCTGCTATAATTAATAATATATTTATGATTTGTTTTATGATTCATTTTTATATATAATTTAGACACGTATATGGTGGCAAATACGAATGCTCTCAACATTACAGTCGTTATTAAATGAACTGTCGAATGACATTAAAAACATGTTTGAAGAAGCTTTTGAAAAAATAGATAGATTCATTTGGGAAACCAATGAAGAAGAAGCTTTGTATAGGTTAGAACAAAGTAAAATTTATCTTTCTCACTATGGCAATGTTACAAAAGCCTCTAATTATTTGAACACAGCAATGAAATTATTAGGATTAGAGCATTCACTTGTAGGTGAGTTAAATTTTACCATAAATTATTATTTTTTGAAAATTAAATGTTTTTAGGTGCATTGGGGAAAAGAACAAAGTTTCAAGTTAAAGAACTTGCCCAACTAACTCTAAATGTAAATTCACTTAAAACAGAAAATAATGAAAATCTATTGACTACGTATGAGTGTAATAATTTACCTGATGTATGTTACAACACTACAAAATGAATTTAAATGTCTTTTAAATATCTTATGTTAATATTTATGTTTGATTTAGGACTGTGTACTAGATGATGAAAACCGTCTACCAGATATAAAATTTTCTGAAGAAAGTGCTGGTACATTTCCCAAATTAAACAGTCTTCAACAAGCAGCCATCTTAAATTCACTGTAAAGTTTATTAATCTTATATATTATCTTAAGTAATTTTACTGACAAATTTAATTTTAATTTTTAAGCATGTTAGAGTTAAAGAGTAAACCCAAAGATGATCTTCAGTTTGAAGAATTGCAACCGTTTATAAGAGTAATTATATTTTCAATTATTTCCATATTTATAGGTATGAATTATATTTAAAAAAAAAATAATAAAACTATCTCTTTATTTAGTGTTTGGTATCACAAAAGTCTGTGTGGAGTATACATGTTTCAGCCTTACTCCAACGTTCTTTGCTTGAAAAGGATAGTCGAAGATCAGTTGAACGGGCCATGCAGCAAATAGAAGTAAACAATTTACCTACTAAAACTATAATTATTTTAGTTAATTTTTTTTTTTTTTTTTAGAGCTTAGTGACCAGTTTAGAAATTTCATGTCCACTTAATGTAGAAAGATTATATTTGTTTCATTGTTCTTATGTATCACCTTCTTGGCAACTCAAAGCAAATTTAGGTTACATAATGTTATCAATTGGTGCAATTCAAAGTGCATTAGATTGGTTTTTGGCTATAGACATGTGGGAAGAATGTGTTGCCTGTTATAATACTCAAGGCCACAGACATAAGGTAAATTAAAATGTTTATTAGAATTAATAATATTTTATTATTAGTATATTTAAATTAGGCTGCTGAAATTCTTGAAAATGAATTAAAATCATCAAATCTTACGATAGCAAAACATATTTTAATTTTATGTTTGCTTGGAGATGCTACTGATAATAAATCACTCTATGAAGAAGCATGGAAGTTGTCAGGTTGTCGAAGTAGTAGAGCACAAAAACATTGGGCATTTTATTATTACGCAAGAAAAGAAGTAAGACGTAGTTTTATTGAATCAATATTTTTATTTTTATTGAATTATGAATTATACATTTTTGAACAATATAATAAGTTTACTAGTACTACCTGAAATCTTTAAATATGTCCAATTGATATTCATTAATCAAATGTTGAAAATTTAGCTGAATTAAATGTATCAATATTTCAATTTGATATGAAAAATACAGAGAATTAACCTAACCCTAACTAGTCATCAATTCAGATATTAATATTAATGTATGTTTTTAATTTTTAGTATAAAGATAGTATAGATCACTTCAAGAATTCTCTTAAAATAAATTCTTTGCAAGAAAATCTATGGTTTAGACTTGGTTTTGCATGTATGGTAGAAGAGAGATGGTCAGAAGCTGCAGAAGCATATAGAAGATATTGTGACTTGGAGAGTGATGTACGTATTGTAATGCCAATATTTAAATGTTTAAATCAGCTTAAAGTATCAAATTTATATTTTAATAAATTATACCACATCGCAGCAGCAGAGTTATTAAAGTTTAATATTTTTCTGTGCTTATACGTGGTTATATTATATTTTATTGCATATGGGGAAACCAGCAATCAAAGTTTTTATTGCATAGGTTTTTGGTTGTTATAATACATAAAATATGTTAGATACATTTTACTTATGACTTAAGTTGATTACGAGTAACTAATATTTTTATATTTAGTGTTTTGAAGCATGGAACAACTTAGCAAAATGCTACATTAAAAGTGATCAAAAATCAAGAGCTTATTATGCATTAAAAGAAGCCATCAAATGTAACTATGAAAATTGGATGGTTTGGGATAATTTAATGGTTGTTAGTGTGGACTGTGGATGTTTTGAAGAGGTAAAATGTATTACCATCAATTAAGTTTAAACAAAATTAAAATTATTATTACTGAAAAATGTTTGTAACTTCAGGCAATTAAATGCTACCATAGATTATTGGACTTAAGAAGTAAACATGTTGATTTTGAAGTTTTGAGCATTTTAGTTCAAGCTGTACAAAAAAATGTTAAAGATGAAAATGGTAGACCTGCAATGGAGCATAGGAAAAGTTTATTGCAACTTTTCGGAAGACTTACATCACAAGTATGCTTTATTTTGTTTTAATTTTTTTATAGATTTAAAATACAATGATATTTAGGTACAAAATGAAGGAGAAATTTGGAAATTGTATGGTCATCTTGAAGCAGCTGTACCAACATTGAGCAAAGAATCTGCTGATAAAGTTTTGCACCACTTACAATATGCCCATCGTTTCATCACACAAGGCAATAAATGGGCACAAGAAAAAAATTCTTGTTTGACTGTCATAGAGTTGTCAATAGAACTAGCTGAAGGTATATAATTAGAATGTGTGGCACATATATTAGATTATTAATTTTCTTTTTTCTATCATTGTTATTGTGACTTGTTTAAATTAACTCAGAATATTTAACTAAAAATGTATGTTAGATCAAATCGGGTTCAAGTGTTCTACTAAATTTGTGTTAACGGTTTATTCTCTATATCAGCAGTCTTTAATCTGTGATAAGCAGGAAGTTTTTAAATAGTCTGATATAACTTTCATTGTTTAATATTTGGTTTATTTAGTTTTGATGTCCTCATTCGTTCAATAAAACATCAACTATCACATTAAATTATTTATCATTATTCATAATCGTAATTAATCATCATAAATAATGATAAAAATAATAACTATACATATTTAGTTTAACTTTGGTCCATTAAATGCTTATAATTTTATTTTTTTGATAAGTAAAAAAAAAAAAATGTTGGTCATGTGGTATACATTTAAATAGAGAACCACTACTCTGTAAGTTGGGTTTTTTGACCATTTTTAAAACTTATTTATTTTTAACATATATAACTCTTAATTAATCTAGAAAAATTTGGCAAATTACTTAAATAAAATCCCTTTATAATGTATTTTAAAAAATTATAATTTATAATAATTAGTATTATTTTTCCATAGCTTATATTGGTTGTAGTAACATGGTAGAAAATAATAATGATCAAAAAAAGCGATTTCTTTCATCTTCTAAACTTATGTTGGTGTCTGCAATTTCACAAATTGAAGTAATTATTATAAATTTAAAATTGTTTTTGTTTATTATTAACAATTTTTAATTTGACTTTTTTGAATACTTTATAGAAAGAAAAAGAATTAATCGAAAATCCAGAAATAAGTGAAGGACTTCAAAAAATTAAAACTATTTTGAACCAAATTAAACATCAACTTTCTTTAGTAATATAAATATTTGTTATAATTTATTATATTGTATTATATTATTATTAATTCAATAAATATGTTTTTTATACAAAAATATTATTTTGTTACCAAAATGTTTAAAAAGTGTCCAACTGGTATATGATTTTACCATCGCTAATACTATTATAATTTAAAAACATTTATAATTTTAATTTTTTTATACTTATAATCAAAAGGCTGTTGCAGTAAAAGAGAAACATTTAAAACGCTGAAGAGATAATGATGTATGATTATCAACGTAATAGGTGAGACTCTAAAAATTATCTAATTTACTAATTTATGTTTTCCTATTAACTGATTAATTTCCACTACCTCATGCCATGAGGTTCCATAATTGAATTGTTAAAATTGTACATCAAATTACGGTATCGTTGACTGGTTGAACAATACCAATGCTATCATACATTATTCAAAAGTGACATTTTTATTGTTCTATCAACTACAACGTCAAAACATTTCACTTTTACATCAATTTCATTAACATAATTATAATTTAAATTACCCATATTAGATATTATTAATTATAATAATCAATAATCAAAAAATAAAACTTTAACTTAATGCAATTTAAAAAATAAACATATAATTTTCTATACATTCTAATATAAACTTTATTTGAAAATATCACATAACAATGATTTTACTATGCTTGTAAAACCACATATTCAATTAATTCGTTTAACAATCAAATTTTTGAACCAATCTGGATCTAATGTATATTTTTTATTACACCAGTTGAAATGTGTTGGCACATAATTGTGTTTATCAATATTATACATAAACATTTTACTTAATTCAATAGCTGTTCTAGATGACACAAGTCCAATGGACCCGTGTTGTTCACTAGCTGGATGGTAAACTCTACCATTTTCAACATCCATCCAGAGCTTATTTGGTTGAAATAATACACTCAATTTAGATCCTGCATGGTTATGACAAAATAAGAAATTCCCATCGTCGCTTTGAATTATTTGGGTAAATACAATAGGGAAATCATCACATCGAATAAAATTCCTTTCTCTTCCACATAATGATATCCATGGAAAATGTTCTCTATATCGATCAATCGTGTTTGGTTTCAATCGTTTGAAAAAAAATACTAAAAAATCTATTTCTGAAAAATTATGAAATAAAATCTTTCATATAGATTAAAATAAATAACTCATATTAAATTAAAAGAAAACAAATTAAACATTAAATAGCAATAAAATTTACCTTTATAGGCAGATGTAAAATTTTTCATTTTACTATCGTCCAAAAAGAGCTAGAAAAAAAGAAAAAAATCCATAATTAAAAATGATTTAAAATGTTGTAAACTTAAAATGTGCATATGAACTACCATAAAAAATAAATTAATATTGTACAAAAATATAAAATACTACAGTTAATTCAATCAAAAAGCCTAGATTCCTGATAATAACAGTAATTTTTTTTCAATATTTGTTTAATTTGCATATATTAAATTGCCATTTTTCTAATGCATTGTTCGAAAACTATTGTTTGAGTTATGGCAAATATATACTTAGTTTCACTTTTAAAAATATTAATATTATTTGCATTAAATATGCCTTCCCAATAGCATAATTGTGGGGGGGGGCAAGGGGAGGCAAGTGCAACCTCTGAGAATTTTTTGAGAGATAAAAATATAATTTCCCCCTCCATAAGATAATCCAACAGTACAAATAGCACCTTTTATTAATGAACTCTTATGGGTATTATTTAACAATATTGATACCTAGTATCTGCTACCTAATATTTATGTTTATCTAAACTATAAAATGAGTTAAAAGACTTATGTAAAATCAAATAATTAGATTTATATATACAATAATAAAATACATACAATAAAAATATGTTTTAACTGGTGAGGGAGAGGGGTGTCAGGGTTTTGGTAATAAATATATTATATTGCCCCCCTAAATTTTTTCCCAGTTACGCCACTGTGCCTTCCTTAAAATTATAATTATATATAAAAAAAAAAATAATTCCATATAATTTAAAAAAAAAAAAATTCTTAGTGTACTATCATCAATTAACCCAAACTATTTTGAAATTGAACGTGAACATTTCTGGTTATAGAAAATAAACATTTCCTATTCATTCAAAACGGTACTTTGGTTTATATAGAGACAAAATTACTTATTAGCAGTAATTATCAAATGGTCCATTACTTTATTTAGTAAGAACGTTATTATAGAAATTGGTGTACCAACCATTCCTTGATGGTCTATATAATAGAAGTATTCTCTAACATTCTTTTCTGGTGATTGTCCTTGCACATATGATACCATGGAGGAGTACGTTTTATTCCCCAGCAGAAGTTTGACATTTTTTAAATTCTTTAAAAAATGTCGAGATTTGATACATGTTAAAGACATAGTTTTAAAGTTCTACACTGGACGGTAATTATTCCCACTGATCGTTCATTATTTCTGAAAAAACAAAACCAATAAGTTCTTCAATTGTAAACTAGATGATTGTTTTGTAAAAAAGGTAACTCGAATTATCAGTAAGATATTAAATAAATGGCACCAATTACATTTGAAAAAATACTTATGTACGTTTTTCGATCACACTGAACACGGATATTATCATCTAATTTATTTCTAGACAATTATAAACAATATGTTATTGTAATAAAATGTGATCATAACACAATAAAATATAATTTTTTTCTCGTGGTACACGTTACAGGAAATTCCAATAGAATTCTCCAACAGTGGTCATAAAGTAATGTAATATATGATAAATTAACTGTTGATATTGTTGAACATACGGTTATAGAATATAATTTTTAGTATTATCGTTCTATGACCACTATCACGTCGCCAGAGGTTATAAAATGTTTTCTTATCATTTTTATCTCTTGTCAATGAGGAGAACTGACCCAAACCCGTTCGTGCCAAACGGTGATAAGACACTGTTAACAACAATCAAGCGTGTTATCTCATTTTTGCTTGCCGAAATCTATCAAAGACTAATACCAATATGTTGTTATTGCAACTATAGGCCGTCTGAGATTTTTCAGTTGGTGGTTCAATCATATTTAATACCACCCACCCATCTACCAAACAGTCATATTAGGTACAAAAATTTACTTAATTTCTATTAAATTACCAATTTGATAATAACTACCGCTGCCAGTTGCCAAGACCAAGAACCACCTATTAAGATGATATCCACCCCAAACTTTTTGGTTGTTCAGTGTACCATAAAATTCATGATCAAGCCGCCTCTGATTGCAACCCAGCAAAAAGTAATAATAAAAAATAATAATAATCAGTGGCAAATTGTCCAGGCATGCTCAGCATAGGAGTGGCTTAGGAATAAAAACGTTATTAATCAATAATATATTACGTATTTTAAAAGAACACAATGTATAACAATAATGTAATTTAATTCTGTTATACTTTGTAAAATTTAATGACAGAGCATGCGATAGATGTGTGCGCAAGCTACACGACGCTTTGTTACCGCTGTAAAATGCCAGTTATTCCGAGACCACCTCTACTAACAGCCGCGGTATTTATTACCCAGGGCATACTCATTCTGTTGCACCTCGTCAATACCGTAATTTATAAGATGTACGTTTACGAGTGTAAGATAATTTTTTCTTCGTTTTGTATTATTGTACTATTTTTTAATATTATTTAGTTAGTTAAATATTTTTTAAATAAGTGCTATTGTATATATATTAAATTAAAGTTTTATTAATAAATTAATACAAATTTGTGTATTACCATTGATTATAGATAATCTATCTATAATCAATGGTATTACTTATTAATTATAAATTAAATATAACTATAAAACATTATAATAAATGAGCATGCCCATACATCAGAGTCAGCATTCGCCACTGTTAATAATACTAAAGGTGCGATTCCTTAGGATGAGTCTATAGACGCGCGACTGACGCGGCGCGATTTGAATTTTTGCAACGCGACTAATAATGTGTCGATAAAGTATTAAAGTACCGAAAGTAAAAAAAATGGTCGTCGTGTACTTGAACTAGAACACGTCCCGGCAGAATGCTCGTATACGACGTGCAAGGGCATACCTAGACATTTTTCCGTAGGGGTTCAATAAATCTGGTAAGAATGAAATCTATCATATTTTGCTAGACTCAATCGTCCAAGAGTGAACCGAATTGGTTGCGATGCAGCAATCGATATAATTTATAACGTAAGAAAAAAAATCGTTTTCTACACCATGCATTGGCCGAAAAACGTTCGAAAATACGTTACTACGCTACATAGTATCGTGGACACGGATGTATCTAGTCGAAATAACATATTTGGAAAAGGCATTACGACTTACAGTGCCTTTTGGAGAGCAACTCGAGAGCAGCATAACCGGATTCGAATTGTATCGTATTCAACTTTGGTGACCACTGCTACTGAAAACCTTGCGACGACTGCTGCTGAAAACCTTGCGACTACTGTTGCGAATAAACATTATCGACAGCAACATCACATCGCGTAAGTACCTGATCTGTCTCAATCCTACGCCATCCTAAACCCTCGGGCTCAGGGTACACGTACACGCGCGCGATCGGCAAAGGGACCGGATCAAAACGCGCGACTACAGTGTGGACGCAGCGATGTTATTCGGCCGCAGCCGTGTTCCATGTCCGGTCAACGCGCAATTCGCCAATTCGCATTCAGCTACGTCCAGCGATCGGGCCATGTACTGTCTACTAGACAACGCACGGTCATCAACCGCAAACACCGCCATGGACTGTGCACGAACAATTTCGAGGGTTATCGGGGGCGAAACACTGACCGGGTGGGTGGATGCAGGCGTAGATACGAGAGGAATGATATGGGGGCTGAAACTTTCCTTTTAAACATAAGGTAGGATCATTTCGCACGTAGGTACATAAAATATTGAAAAAATTAGACGCAAGAAAGACTTCTTACAAATCGACATGCACAACGAATCATGGCAAGTAAAGGGTCCCATACACGGAACGATCTATCGTCAAACTTGTCGTCAAGCAACGTTTGACAGACCAAATCGTCACGTGTATGGACGTGTTTGTAAGTTTGCCGTCTGATCGTCGGTCGTTTTGACGTATCAACCGGACGACCAACTGAACGATGACAGACGCGGTTTGTGCGTGTATGTAACTGTCTGACAAAGTGTACTACACAACATTGTTATCACTATTATTATCATTGATTATTACACATTGATTAACACTAAATTTTAATTTTTATTCCGAAATCCGAATTTATTTTGTGTTTGACGTTATATTTTAATATTCCATTTACGTACCGCTATAAAATGGATCAAAACAAACCATTTGTGACCGAGTTTTTAGAAACCTACAATCGTCCAAAAATAAACATTTGAGGAACTTAGGTATCGAAGACTTGTTAAAGGTGTGTCAAGAAAAATTTAAAGATGCTAATGCAGCTTTTGTAAAACGTAAAATAAACAACCTACGGTCTGCATATGATGCCACAGAACTGCAATTCACGTAGCAAATTCATATGCGAATATTTTTGACATTCTAAAAGCCACTGTTTTGACCATTTCCTTTTTTTTTATGTATCGTCATCATCATCCACATACAAAACAAGAGCAGTTGTCAGCAATAATTTCCTCTTTCGATCTATTTTGTCCATTGTGCGCAAAAATATACAAAGCGAAATTGAAAAAATTCCATAAACTATAAAATGCAACCACTTGAATAATATTTCGATTTTCAATTGCGATATAAACCATATCACATTATCACAATATAAACAAACAAAACAAACTTCACCAACTAAAAAGTTAGGTTAGATATCGTCAAACTAATCATTTGGTGTGTGGACTGCGTCAGGTTTGACAACTGATCGGCCGATTGGTTTGACGACAAGTTTGACAATAGATCGTTCCGTGTATGGTACCCTTAACTCACTTTACTAGCCACCCTCCCACTTATTTCATTTCTAGATCCACACCCGAGTGGACGCGACAGCGCAATTTGGAAATGTTAACGTTCGGACCTACATTTGTGATCGTAATTCGAGTCACTCGTTCGCTAGTTCATACCACTAGTACCCATCTGAACTTTCAGGGCTAAACCAACCCCTGTACGTCATAGAGATATTTCTCGGGGGGGGGGGACGAATGTCACAGCAATTATGAACGATAGTACAAGTGCACGTGCAGGAGTGATATTGAACACAATTGCTACATTCCTAACTGTTATGTTTGCACCATTGGTGTTTTGACAAAAAAAATATAGGGTATACGCGTATTTAAGGATTTATGACAATGACTATTGTGTATTCATTAAGATCAAAACTTATCAGATTTTATCATTCAAAAAGACGCTCGCTTCACTCGCGAGTATTCAGATCTTTTCTGGATCTCATGTTCACGAGTATAAACTTTAATATATAAAAAAAAAAAGTGTATTAATTATTTCTTGATTTATCTAAGTATTTAAAGCTTCTATGGAGAATTCAATAATTGCCCGATTTTAAAGGCAAAAAATATAAATATAATTGTAAAATAAAAGCTTAATCATGTAATCGTCAAATAGGTAACAACAAAACATATAAAATATATACGATTAACTTTAATAGAACCTATACATAATAAAAGGAATAAATTACAACGGTTAAAATTGATTATAGTTTATCAGCAATGTATCAACATTGATCACGAATAACAATAAATTGGAGATTACAAATGTTTATTTGGAACGTCAGCGCATTCTGTTACCAGGAATCCATTACTACTACAATTCTAGCTCCATTTGGGCCTTTTTAGGAGTTTCCAAAATTAACATTGCGTGGGCTATCTATGTTTATTTAATCAATGGCCACACTATTTAGTATATTCTTGTATAGAAACGTCAACGGCCACTTGTAGATATTATAATTTGATACCTAATGAATATAGTTAGACGATAATCGATAGCTATAAATAATAATCAGTTATCAATGTTATTATTAACCTACCAATAACAAATTTTCTAAAAATAAACGTATGTCCTGTGGATTTTTTTTCTATTTATGAAGTAGGTATACGAGCGTATACGTGTGTATACGTGCGTATTGGTGTTTCTTTTATAAAGTATACACTAAATCACCATGATGGTTCACGGGTATACCTCGTAAACCTGCGTATACCCTCCAAAACACCACTGGTTTGCAAGTATATACGTACAAGACGTACATGTGGTAGGACAACAAGACCAGTTCACGGTATCCGAGTAAGACACAGACTGTTTATTAATATGATTATTTAAATATTCGCTATCGCGTTTTCACACAATGCAGCGATACCGATTCTTGCATAATAATTACGTAACATATATTACACTAACGTCGTAGTGGAATGATTTAGATCTCCCAAAAAATTGTAAATCCATAGAAAATAATTTCACTATCTCGTTTTGTACTGTAGGTACATACCGTTTCACCGTTTTATCGCATTGAACAACTGATACACCCACAATGTTTGTCTAAATTTTTTTGGTTATCACACTAACGTGCGACAGGTATTAGGTGTCTTAGAGAGTAAACCCATCGAAGACTAATTTTTTATTTATTATAACGATATGTAATCAACTTAGGAGACAAGAAAAAAACAACAGCCAACTAACCGTGTATTATAGCGTTACCGTTTATTTTAGCTTGTTAAAGCCTAATATTCTAATCTTTCTAATTTTCTAATCTCGTATGCGTCGCCCTTTCAGTGAGTACCGTTTTAGAGGTCAATTATTTTTTTTGATTTCCAGCGAAAGTCCTACAAAAAGAAATTCACGATGGGTGATGGTGAAAAATTGAGCCGTAAGATGATCTTTCCTTACACATTTACTGCGAAGGTTGTTCAGTTTCCATTTAAATTGCATTTTAAACACCACTGGATGTTCCCATGGCTCATTGGATCTGCTGTTTTGGTCGCACCTGTGTTCTATCAATTACAGAAGTTTGCCAACAATGAAGCCAATATAAAGATGTGGGCTGATAAAAGGAGGAAGGAAGAAGAACATCACAGACACAAGTGGGATTAATTGAAATTGTGAATCAATGTAGAAAATAAAAATAAAAACAGAAACTTATTCAACTATTGTATATTATTTCTAATAGCGTAACTGCGAGTTATAAATAAATACTTAAATTAAATGTAATAAACATAGTTCAAAAAAAAAAAAAAAAACATGTAACGGGACACCGTCGACCTCTATCGGTACAATTCCCTATCATCAACAAGCTTTCGACCGTGATTTACCTAAACACAGATATCGCTGATCGCCACGACGTATACAACGCTCTAACCAACAATAAATAAATAAAATAAATAAATCTCCGTTTACATTTGTAGATTTTTTAAGTAAAAAACGGGTTCAAGTTGAAACCTTACCGGGACCACGTTGCTGTTCCGTCTATGATCGTGTAGTATTCACCGTTCGGTCTTAAGGCACCACCAATGCGGCCACCAGAAACGAGAGGTTCCAAAACCGTGTCGGGCGTAAACACATAAGTACCAGTGATTCCGTCGACCACGACAACCTTTTCCCTCCCCGGACTCGGTAGCAGTTCGTTTCGTAAAACTAGTCGTTGTCCGAGGCCCACCCACAACCTTCCGTTGCAGCGTGTTCTAACCCAGTGCCAACTTCTTTACCGAACTATCCACGGTATACTTTTATAGTTTAAAGTCCAGGATAGTACGGGTTTCAAACGGAATAAATTAGCGATCGATCCGACCGTGTCCGTCCGCTCCGACCGAGTCCGTCCGCTCCGATCGTGTCCGTCCGCTTCGACCGCGTCCGCCGTCGTAGTGGTACCCACCGCCACCAGTCAAAGACGTCGAGTCGACCACGGTATACTTGCAGGCCAACTCGATTACCTCCCCACTGTCTGCGTACCATACGCCGATCCGTTATACGCGGTTGTCATCCTGTACGCCGTCTTTTCGCACGTGATCATATTTCCGTACGCCGTAAGTGAAATTGCCGTTAGGACTCGATACAGCCACCCCGGACGTTGTCACCAACGTATTTGCGGAGGAAAAGAGCCATACGTGTCCAACCAACGATACTACTGATCCTACTCACTTTGTAAATATTCGAACAAATATCCTATCTTATGTCTGTGTTGTATGTAATAGTAGTTCGATGGTATATATAACCATACTATATCAATTTTTTTCTTGTGTATTTGAACAGCAACGTGTAATATTATATAGCACCTTACGGGATTTTTGCGAAAAATTATTTATGTTTAATAGTTTAAAATAAAAAATACCGACAATAGAAGAGAGAACTTGGTATGAATTATTAGTAGTTTATGAATAAAAATATTTTCAATTTTTTAAAAAATATTTTTAAATATTTTCAAGTTACCCGAAAGAAACATATGACAATTTATTCAACTTGCCCAGAGATGTTGCTCTGGCTCATTGTGTAACCGAGGATTTAAAAATTGGATTTGGAATTGCGGGGAAATTCAACTAAAAATATCTTTAAAAAAATTATATTCATAAAAATAACAATAATTGCGATCGATTGCTAGACGTTATTTCGGCGGTGTTGGTCAACTGTTCGACCAAAATCTAACAGTAGGAAATGTTGGCGTGGTTATCAAGGCATAATTAAACTGCTTTTTGCTTGGTTACAAAGCAATACAGTGGCGGAAAACTTACAATACAATCGTAAACAGTAGTTCTCAAGTCCCTATTAGAAAAAATTAAAGCCATGAACTTAACAAAATTAAAAAATCGGTTGCGGTTATGACGGTTTAGATTGGAAGCAAGTCAAGGAAGTTATTGTTAGTATATTTGCTGGAACCCGAATAAGTATAACAGTTTGCATCCCCTCTAAAGTAAGTGTAAGAAATTACCAAATATATTGACCTTTAATTCTATCATAAAACCTTTGCAAGATATTCAATCACGTACCGCCGCCGCAGTTGAAAGCTTATATCACACCGAAAGAAATATTGGAATTAGAAGTGATGAGCGACATTCTACTTTTCATTGACCTTGAACAGTCTAAAAAGAACGGTTGTTCAGATGATCTGGTGAATAAAGTAAACGCTGAATACCCGTCTTTGAAAGAAAACTAATTATGTTTAAAATGTTCTGAGATGCATCAAACCTATTTTAATAATAATAATTATTACCTAAGTATAGATATTACGAGTATATTTGATTTTTATTCACATGTTTCATAGATGTATAAATTATTTATAGTAAATATACTTATATTTATAACTTATTTATCATTCAATACATACCAAAGCTATACATAAGTATATATATATGCTATATCTGATTGAAAGGTTTGAAAAGTTAAATTTGATAAAAATATAATTTATATTTTGTCCATCCATAGGTTATTGAATGATATCAGACGAAATGTGTAATGTCCTGGAGACGTAATTACATATTTCATAAAAAAAGCGAAAATTAATTGCTTGTTCACCAGTTCAACGGCATATTTTAGTTCACTTGAAAGAGGCTTTAACAACATTAGGAAAGATATTAGAAGCTATAGAAATTTTGCTTTCTAGAGTGCACCTATTAAACCCGTCGATAACTTCAAGTTTATATCACAAATGGTATTGATACTGCGATCCATCATTTATGGCTCTACATTGTGGCTGTGTGGAGACACAAACCAAATAAAAGAGAAAGAAATATATGAAAACTACTGCAGGATTGTTATTAACGAAGTTAAACTTGTATCTAAAGCAACAGCAGTTAGCAACTTATCGAAAACCGGAGGTCCGAAACAGCGTAATGCTTCTTCAAATAATCAAAAGTGGAAAAATGCTTCAACGATAAAAAATACGCGTAGAAGATAGGTATTTTTTAAAAATAAATACGAACAGTTACACCCACATCCATAATTCATCTATAAAAGATACAACACTGTTTTATAAGATATTTAAGAAAAATTTAAATTACTATAAATATGAATTTAACCAACCGAACTCAAGTGCATATTTAAAGTAAACATTAAATAGGTAGATGCATTTCATAATCTATGTAAACATATAAGTATAATATATATACTCAGAATGGGACACCAATATCACAATTTATTTGAAGTGATATTTCACCTCTTTTAATCTATACAAGATTTATGATTTTCTGTTTCTAATAGAATATTTCAACTCCAAATTATCATAAGATCATTAATTATTTGAACTTGACAATAGTCAAGCATTAATTATAGATTTATAAATGAGATTTTTAATAATTTAACATTTTACTGATAAAATATATTTATTTTCTAGAACGCAAATGGATTCGACGTCAAGTTTTTTCAAAATGTACACTGTTCCCATTTTACAATTTGTTTTCGAACATCGATTCAATTTTGTCTAGCCATAATTTATTTATATTATTTATACAAATAATAATTTTAATATATTTATATATATAATATATTATATTAATAATATATATATATATAAAAACATAAACTGTATATTATATAAAGTTATAACCACAGAATAAAACAGAATAGACACTGATAACAAATTACATGGGCAGCATAGGACAATAATGAAATTAGTCAGCCATTTTATTTGAGGTACAGTAGGAAGTTAGTAACATTTTATTCCATCATGAAACGGTAGTAATATTCTTTATAAGCTACTGCGCATTTTAAAATTTTACTAGTAGTAGTATTATTTTTCAAGGTATTAGGTGCAATAAGAGTTTGAGATTTGGGGGGCTTATAAGACTTATACTATGGTATGACCATGAGTCAACCCCCAACCTCCCATCATTACCAAAAAAATATAAATTGTGTTTTTGTAAATGTATTACAATTGTATTTGTAAATTTACTACAACAATGATTTGTATTTTATAGTATTATATCGATATAAACGTTTTTAATATTCTTAAAAAATGTATATAAATACCTGTATAATACTATTTAATCATCGATGAATCTATTTTATACATTTTTTTTTTTAAACACTTCCTATTCTGAAATCCAGCACATGGGCCTGTATTATGGTATACATACAATCTAAAAAATGATCCACAAGTAAAAACTTCTTGGTATCCAGTAGGTCACCATGTTTCACACTGTTCGGTAGACAGGGGCGGACGAACCGGTCCGCTGGTCAGCGATCGCGGACTGGCCTATCGGCCATAAAATATAATTTTGCCCTGCATTATTTATAAAAATAAAATATAAAATCAGATAAAAATGTATCTTATAATAATAATAAGACAAATTCTAAACACTGGACAATAAAGCTGAGCGTCCACTAGGTCGGAGAGGTCGGCGCGGCGCGGTGCGGATTTTATCCGGACACCCGTCCATATAGGTATGCAAAAACATATAAATATGGTCTATGAACTTTACGTTTAATATTGTGAACTAGTATCTAATTTAATCTTAATATTTAAACTATTTTTTTTCTCATTAAACATTAAGCTATTATTTTCATCCTGCAACATGATATACTATACTATACTTAAAAATATATTTTCCTTCTACCATATGAATTTGTTTTTTTTTTTATTTTGTTCACCTTTCGACCTCTTTACTTAATATAGCAAAATTATTTTTGTGCCTATACACCTAATAATATATTATGTATCAAATATAAAAATATATTCTTCCAAAGTTCCAAATGAAGTGTTGATTTAACATCAAACAAATACAATATGAGGTATATATGATGAACAATTTAAAATGACACTTATTTATTAATGTTTTGTATATAAACTTACCCTGATGTTGTGTTATATATTATATTTGATGGTTATGTTGAAATACCTACTTGAACATTAAATGATACATAAATGATTTTAAGTTATCATATAAATTTGTATAAAAATTAAAATTTTAAAACGTGATAACTGAAAACATGATAAGCACGCAAGTGACACGACAATACTCCGAAACTAACCGACAGCAAACGAACATGGAAAAATCCGACCGCTTCATCGTCCATTAGGTCGGTGAGCCAGCGCGGCGCGACGCGGCGCCGATCTCAAGAAGTCACCGGAGCTCTGGAAAGCGGCGCCGCGTCGCGTCGCGCCGCTCCGACCTCCTAGTGGACGGATTTGTATTAG